ATAAATTTTGCAAGTAACTTTTTTTATTAGAGCATAATAAATGAAATATTGAGTTAATATATTTTTGACCGCAATATAATTTAATTGGCTGCGTAGAATTTTTTTTTGTTTTGAGATTTACTTATTTCATCTGTAACAATCCCCACACAAAAGAAATTATGGCCAAAAAACTTGTGCAAATAAGATTCTAGAAAGCAGTTCTTAATTAGCACATTTATTTTCGCATTTTATCGGTTTATCATTATTTTTTCTTTAAACACGTCTATCTATTCTATATGTGGATTGTTTCACAGGTGCAAATAAGTATTGTAACCATCGTTTGCTTATTATTATAGGCAGAAATTTGTTTGATTGGCTTAACGATCAACAAATATGTCCCCTTAATTTACAGCTAAACGTATTAATTAATAGATCGACACCGGTTTATGCATACAATTTTTTATGGTTCACTATAGAAAATCGTTGTTAGAAGTAAATTTCGCACTTATTCCAGCACCTTTATAATGCAAGATATGCTGCTGTAATTTGCTAAGCTATATAAAACCTTTATACTTTTTCTTGCAAATTATCTTGTTTTAAAGATTACAACTCATGTAGTTTTTAAAGAATCTCAAGACAAAATAATCGAAATTTTTTGAGACCGAATTTATTTTTTCAGGGGTATCAACCCAAACTTCGGTTTGATTGTACCCCTAAGAAATAAATTTGTGAAATTTGTGAAATTTGTCCCTTAATTTGCAGGGAAATGTATCAACAAAGGATCTGCACGCTGATTTTCTTACAATTTATCATAGAAAACTGTCGCAAAAGCCAACATTTCTTCTACACAATGTTCTTATTAAATCAAGCATGCCACTATTCTCATCTAAGATAAATTGAACAATATGTATTTCTCATTCTGATTGTCTTATTTTATACTAAATAGGGCTCATAGTTTTTAAAGAATCTTAAACCGAAATAGCATGGCTTCTAAGTATAGCATAGTGTCGATGTATCGACATATATATATGAAAGCTTTCAAAGCATTACTTTTCTCTTCTAAGATAAACTGAACAATACATATTTCTCTTTTTGATTGTCTTATTTTATACAAAATAGGACTTATAGTTTTTAAAGAATCGTAAGCCGAAGTAGTATGATTTCTGAGTATAGTGTCGGTATATCAATATATCATATGAAAGCTTTTAAAGCGTTACACTTTTTTTTTTTTTTTAATAAAAGGTGAAGATGAAGTTCACCGTATTATTTTTTTTTGTTTTTTTTTTTTACCAATGTTAAAACTTTTATATTCTTGAATTATAATTAAATACTTATATTCAGTTATACATACTGTTACTGTCAAGTCATTTTTGAAAAACTTGTTATTACCTACTATCGTTATAGAATTTTTTTTGACCCTTATATTATAGAATTAAGTACCAATTTTTAACAAAGGATATTTAGTACCGATCTTTTTTTATATAGGCATCATCATTTTTTTTAATTCTTTTTTTTTTTTTTTATAAATACACAAAATTATGTCCATAATGAGCTCACAAGATATTTTTAACGATTATGATTATGTTCCTGATAATTGTGATATAGAAGACTTAAAAAGTGTAGTCTTAGCCGAAAGCCTTACATCAGGAAGTGTTGTAGAAAGTATAATTGGTGATGGCGAAGTATTGAACAATGATATAGAAATACCATTTCTTTTTAACAACACCAGCTTTGAAAGAGCAAGAGAACTTTTAGAAGAAGACGAAAATGATGATATATTTTTATTAAAAAATCTAGGTGATAACGATAATATAGATATCGATGATAAAGCAATGTCGTCAATATTTGATTCAGAGTTATCATTTTATGGAAATGAACATTTTATTGAGAATGCAACAACTAGTCAAACATTGTCAGTTTGTCCAATTTTAGACGTTACTGATGGCCGTGTTCAGTGCTGCTCAAACTATTCCGAAAGTCAAAGACCACTTGCACAACTTATTGGTTCTTGGGAGATTGATTCTGAAATATTTCAGCAAGCTCAAACAAATAACAAACTATCAAAAATAGGTGTATGTTATTCTCATTTTCTTTATAATCAAAACCAGCTTCATCTTCCAGGTATCAAACAGATGCGATCTGTTGAGAAGAGCAGGATCTTTCGTCGCCGTTGTTTGTTTTGCAACAAATATAAGTGTTTTTTTAGTCGAGGCGGAACTTGTATACAGCATTCACAGAATGTGTTTGGAAAAAATATCCAAATTCCTTGTGTTGGACTTAAAGTTTGTCCTATATTTAAGCATACAGAGTCAAAAAATATTATTAGAAGTAATTGGGAAGCTGAATATCGACCCTGATATATTTGTTCAGAATGTTTTGTTATACATGGAGGGCATTTCTATGAATGACGACACCGTGGAAATAATCCAGACTTTGAATGTGCAAGTATGCATAAAAATGATACAAATGAAGCACTTCGGATTTTGGGTTGCTAGATTGTATCAATGGCAGAGATTAATGATAAGGATAAAAAAAAAAATCTCTTAACTGTTTAACTTCCATATTTCCAACATTTTATGATGCTAAGCCTTCTTCAACTATCATAGATCATCCTAGCCTTTTGTTTATAAAAATTGCTTTAAGATTAGGGCACGTTAATATAGAAAAAGCCGTAAGTTCCAAATATAATATCACTTCTGAAACAGCAGAAGAGTTTAGAAAAGCACTTGGAAATGTGACATGGAAATCGCGATGTAAGGTACAAGAAAACAAAGAAAGGCTAGCAAATCCAGCATCATTGGCTGACTACTTAGATGGCTTTCCTTTATGTATAGCAAACTTTTTCAATGGATTCATCAAAACATTACAAAAAAAAAAGCATGAAATATTAACAAAAAAAAGAAAACAAAGAGGCCTTCCATTAAAGAGTTTTGATACGGGTTGCGTAAACAAAATAACTGCATTTCTTGCTTCTATAGTGTTAAATATTGCATTTCCAAATGCTAGTATTTGGCTAACTCATATTATGAGCTCACTTTGACGAAAACCAAAACTATATCAATCTCTTTACAACATCCTTTTGTGTAGTGAACGTAGTATCACATACGCAACAACATGAAAGATTGTTAGAAAAAGTCCGCCAACATGATATAAAACCTGAAAATAGATTATTACGAGGTACAAATATATGGAATGTATCGGTAATCGATAATATAGATTTTATTGAAAAAACTTTTTCGTATAGAAACATATTTGATACAACTCGCAAATCAGTACACGCTACGTTAAGAATGGTGTTTCAGTTTATTATGCCTATACAACTTCAACCTTGTAATCCCACTGATTATAATAATTCTTATAGAAATAACAATGATCAGTCTATATTTGGTACTTCATCTTTTACCGATGATCTTCTTTTTCTTTATGAAAAAACTTTTCAAAATTTTTTAACCACACATGCTAATGACTGGGACACTGACGATATTCTTAATGAAATTGCGCAGCAAGTACCAATTGGATGCAAGGTTTCACACCTGAAAGTCGTTATACTTAAACCAGGGGACAATCCAAATTGTGATGCAAATGTTCATCGTGCATGCGATTTATATTATAGTGATATAGGAATAACGAACACTGGCAGTCTAGACATCGCATGTGATAATGCAATATTCTGTAGACTAATTTCATACAAGGAAAAAAATAAAGATAAAGTTATAAGACCTCTTTTAGGTCAGTGGCACACTTCCCGTACTATGTGTATTACGTTGATAAATATTTTTTCTGGTTACGGTATTGCAGCCATGGCTGCAAAACTTGGAGTACATTTTTTAGATAAATTAGAAAAAGTCGTAGACTATCAAGCTACCTGTCATGTTTTGGAATTGATTTGGGTTGGCGTTGGTGTTGCAATATGCAAATATTTACAAATCCAAAATTATATAATGGACAAAATTGATAATAAGAGAAATGAAGTCCTCAAAGTTTGGTATCGCTATTTTTGTTGGGCTGATTACTGGGTAGGACACAAAATTGGTATTAGACGTGGGAACTATGAAATACAAATGCGAAACCTTGTAGCATTCTCTCCTTTATTTCCAGTTGCGGGAAAAAATAATTATGCCAAATCAGTGACCTGTTTTTTATCATATGTTGAAAATGATCCACATTTTCAAAAATTGCTTAAATGTGTTTGTTCAGTAAATCTTACCCAACCTGGACACTACTTTGCGTTTGATGAAGCGCTGGAATGATTTGGTGTCAAATTTGTAAAACAGAATATCGGAGGAAAAACAAAGGATATCGAAGAATTAAAGTTACAAATAAGTTCTGTACAAGCAGAAAGGGAGAGATTAGAACTATTACTATCAGAATACATGGGTGATATAATTGTAACTAAAGAAAAATGAGCAGTGCAATCACGAAAAGAAGTGTTGTGGAAGTTAGTTGATGAGTTATTTGCCGCCTTCTTATTAACAAATCCAAAAACTCAGGAAATTTTTGCAAGTGCACAAGAGATGACCCCAGTAGGGTTTTCAAAATTATTTTTATGCTATGACCGTGGAATCTCCCGACTTATTGCAATCCAACGCCAAGATGTTTATAAGATTGATCCTCCAAATCAACGAAGATGTCGTAAGCATAATGTAGTAGTATATAGGTTGGCAGATTTATCATCAGATAACCAAAGTAGAAGACGAAACCAACAAACAAATAATTTATTACAAAGGGATTGTGCTGAGGATAATAACGTAATGCAGCAACAAGCAGAAAATGCTAATGTAAAACGTCAATGCAGATATACTACAAATGATGAAAAGATATTACTTGAAGATTTACTTATGCATGATTCTTTTCCAGAAGATTTGGCTATTGAAGTCTTAAGGAACCTTCAAGATCTCAGTAATGACTGGGATATGCAGCGAATTAGGATATACTGGAATAATAATCGTCTTAATAAACGAAAAAATCCTGTAAATTCAACATAGATCCAAAAAGAATGGTAATCATGATCGTTAAAATAATAGAATTACTGAATGCGGAACATTCAATATCTATATTTTTCATAATGTTGTTAATATAACATTATAGACTACCTGATCTAGTTATATTATATATATAACTATATTTTAACTAAGTTCAATATCAGCGTTAAAAACCAAAGAATATTTTCAATCTCTTGATGCTTATGCATCATGGACGTTGTATAATGCAGTTTATAAGAACATTAAATTTATATATAACAGTATAACTTCGAGGTTTTATAAGGACATTAAGTTTATATAACTGTATAACTTCGAGGTTAGTTTTGTGTTAAATAAAATAAAAAATAAAAAATAAAAAAAAAATAAAAAAAATAAAATAAAAAAAATAAAAAAAAAACAAAAATAAAAAAAAAAAATTAAATAAAAGATGATTTGGTAATTCAATTTAAATAGTTTAAGCTATACATATATTGTGTATTAGATTCAAAGCGTGAATTTAAAATCAAGCTGTATCAAAATAAAATTTAATTCAAAGTAATAAAAACTGTTCTTTGTGTATTTCATAAAAAGTTACTGAAATATTCATGTATCTTATATAAGTTTTTCATATCTTACTATTTTTAATTCCTTCGATAGCATTTTAGTTATTTTCCTTAGTTTTTGTTGATGGTAAGAGCATCGCTCAACAGCAAATTTAGGCGTAAACGTTTGGTTGATATTTACTTTAATGGCATTTAATAATAATTGAATGCTTTATATTTATTTCCTTTAATTATATTTAAATACCAATTACTAGCTTGAAACATTCTATTAATATGTATTATTTTTTATAATTACTGAATTAATGCATATTAAACTACAACTGCGGCATTTGATATAAGGTTATAACAGTTTCTGAACCAGCTCACTAAACTATAGCTTTTATAATTTTATATGAATTATATATTCTGGTTTGAAAAATATAATTTGCATTCAGATTAATTCTTTAAACTAAAAAGAGGCTACAGCTACTTTTCTTAGACCAAGGCTAGTTTATTATATCTTCACTAGTTTAGAGAATCTTCAAAAAATATAAAAAGATATTCAAAAAAACATTTTATAAAAAATACTCTTTTGAAGTAATAAAAACAAACTTATATAATATAAATTTATTTTATAATAAATAAATATTAGAATAATTAGTTTATTAATAATTAATAGATAGTTTAAAATAAATACAAACATAATATTAATAAAAACGAAAGTTATATGATCAATTAATTTTTATTATTAGATTGCAGATCATAGGACATATTTGGTGACCGCTATATTATCGCAGTTTTAATCAACCAGATTATATTTTTTATATAGTGTACGTATTAGTAAAACACATATGATCTGCAATATACTAATTAAATGAATTTTGCTATTCTAAAAATTTGGTGACGGTAAAAATAAGTATACAAAATTTTGAGTAAATATAAAACAAGCCATTTTGTCCAGTAATTCAAAATAAACTAATGAATTTACAAAATCTTAGTCGAGTTTTTGGTGCCTTTACGATTTTAAATAATCTAAAAAAGTCTGTTCAACATCATTTGAACATGGTTTACCTAACTTTCAGATCCCTTTGTTTTTTGGCTGCTTCTGGAGCTTATACTGGCTTATACTTTATTAAAGTATGTTTATACCAATTTTATTTTTTTTAAATCGTATCGATATGAAATTATTACTTAAAAATTATTATTTAATTACTTTAGGAATGTTAAATTCCACCTTTAGTAAGTCTCTGGTTAATGCGCATTATCGCCATCGAGACACATTACAATACCCAGAGAAAGAAATTTGACCTGCAACAAAAAACAGACCTGTACACATTACGTTACTATTTGTTATTAGTATGTTTAATCTCTTTAATAATAATATTATTTCTAAAATTTTCTGCCTCTGATATATTTAAATTCATATTTTTAGGCATTAGCCTTCATGCTAAGACTTTCAGTTGGACATTTGATTGAAATGATTTCTTTCTCAGATGACCTGTAAAATATATATTTTTTTGTTTTATTTGGTTGATTTAATATTATACTAATCACTTTTGATTAATTTTACAGCCGCAAAGTTGTGATTAATGTCTGTCAATTGAATTTTTTAATCTTTTGCTTTTCTCCGATACCTACTTTATTGTGCAATAACAAGCTTTTGATGAATCTGGTGTTATCTATAAGAATTGTGATTTCGCTGAGTATTTGTCCTTTGTACTGTTAATTTAGGTTGGATTTTTAGTTTGAATTACATTAGATGGTTTTATTAGGTATAGGA